GGAAGGCCGGGCTGCCGTGGGTGTGGGTGGCGGCTTCGCCTCCCGTAATAACAGGCCACCTCCATTTGGGCAGAGACTGCCTCCATGGTTTGGGAGTTTTCTTCCAGTTCCAAAATTCCTTGATTCAGATTCTGCCCTTTTGCATAAATTACATGGACTAGCTAGTGGGGTTGTGCACAGAGTGCAGGATGGGGGTGGGGAGGCAGCCACTTCCTGTTTCCTGTGAAAGGTTTCCGGTTAGGGTTCCCTTCCCCTCCCCCTTTTCCTTAGGTTCAACCAAATGTTGTAAAGCCACTACTGCTTCAAGGTACACATTGTGCTCCTAAATTAGAAACGTTAAAAAACAGAGGGAAAACAAGGCTCGTGGTTTTCACACTGTCTAGGAAGACGCTGGGCTCTGCTAGCACGCGTGCCGGCGTGATAGATACAGCCCTGGGAAGCTGTAGTCCAGAGACAGGTGCTCAGTAGTTTGTTTGCTTCCTTCGGTGCCCAGGACGAGTCGTGAGACAGATTTCATCTGAAGCGGGTCTTGGGCACAAACCTGAGGTGGCCCCTAACGTGCAGCAGATAAAGGAGAGAGCGATGGTTCTGAGGCGAGGGGCTCCGAGAGCTTTCCCGGAGGAAGAGTTATTAGGGTTGGTATGTGAAGGCCGGTGTGCCAGGCACTGCAGCCAGGACCGGCATTCTGTCACAGGAGACAGGATCACCAGAAAGCCCAGACGCAAGACAGGGCGAGTCTGGCTTCCTTCACTCCGAAACAGCCAGCTCTTTCTATACCTGCGAAACGCCCACTGTGTACAAGGCACCATACTGGGTGCTGGGAAGCACATCCAGGCCTTGTTGTCTTTGTTTACAGCTGATGCTGAAGCTGAGAGAAGTTAAACTAATGTAGGGAGGAGGCAAGAGAACTAAAAGTTAAATCAGGCCACATTTAGAGACTGCACTGTGCCGATCAGCCCTGCGGCCAGACCAGGAGGACGCGTGCAGAGCAAGGGGAGATTTCTGCCGGGATCACACGGCCCTCAGACGGACCAGATGGGGAGAGCGCAAACAGCAGCCAAGGGCACCCGCTCCCCCTGCAACTTAGAAGGCGAATCAATCGCCTGGGAGTTTCTAGGGTAATTTGAAGTTTTTTGAGGATGGTGGGATAAAATATGTGAAAATTGGGGTCATTCTGGAGAAACCTTTAGGATAAAAGGCCCCCCTCCCACCCCCGTGTTGCTGCTCTTGTTTCTTATTACTAGGGGCTGTCAGACATGAGCAGGTGCCCGATGGTGGTTATTCGCCCTAATAGCTCTTTAAAAAATTAAGCATAAAGTAGGATTTGTTCATGACGTGCTAAAAAATACAGAATTCAATTTTAACCTTTGCTTCTGAAATAGTAGGTGACTCATTTGGGCACTGTTCATCCTCTTCTCACGAATTAGTTGTGAAATGCCACAGCACAGCAGTGACTCGTCATTTCGATGCCCCCTCCGCAGCAGCTTGCTGACGGCTCTCATCCACCCCTCACTTCCATTCTTAAAGAAGCATTCCTGGTGACCTGGTGACCGACTAGCTTGATTCCTCCTCTCTGCGGCACCTGGGTTTGCAGTGACGAGTGCTTGTCAGTGCCTCTCCCATCAGGGTTTGAGCTCCACGAGGACAGGGCGGCCGGGCCGCTCCGAGTTCCCTGTGCAGTGCCCAGCACAGTCACAGTCAGGAAGCGTGTGTTCAGTGTTGCTGCAGCTGCTCCCACAGCATAATGTGACAGCTCTGGAGGAGATTATTGTCATTTTAAGAAAATTATTGAGTTAACTTTCTTTGTGATAAACTTAATGGATTAACCTCGTAGTCCAGTAGTTTTCGTAGTATGGGTTGTTTGAGCTCAGCCGAAAGAACAGAATTCCAGACAAGACAAGGGATGTGGGCAGGAGTATTCAGAAGTAAGTCATCGGGTTGCCTGGACCAGAGCCTTCAGGCCAGAGAGCTGCAAAACCCTGCTCCTTGTCAGAGTCACCTAGCTTGGAAGAGGGGAGAGGAGGTATGGGCTGCAGAGAGAAAAAGATCACAGGTTCTCTGGCTCGACAGTTTCGGAGTGTCGGGTGGGTGCTAGTGGTGCCTTGTCGCACAATCAGTCTGGGTTTTTTTTGTGATGTATTTGATGCACAAAAGTCATGCGACATCAGTGAAAGTTAGGGGACATAACAAAACACTATCCACATTAACAACCAGAAGGTTTCCAGGTCCACTGCACCGGTCTGTGAGCTCCTCCTCCTCCTCCCAGGGCCACTGGTCCGCAGGTGCGTGTGGACCCCGTAAGGTACCTGAAGGGGCGGACATGCCCTGCGTGGCGTGGTGGCTCATCCCGTGTCTGTAAGTCAAAACAGTGGACTAAAACTTGTGCGATGTCGCAGGTGCGAATCAAGGATGTAACTAACCATGTACCCACCACCCAGTTTAAAGCACGAGGCATCAGCGGTGTGGTCGAGGCCCGCTGCTGTCCCTCCTGAGCATAAGGGACCACTGCCATTAATCGTGGTTCTCATTCCTGTGTATTTCTTACCATACACGTATTACTCAGCAATATACAATTGTTCGATATGCTTTTGAACTTCTTAAAAAATTGGCTTCATATTCTACGTATGCTGCCACCTGCTTTTTACGAGCAGCATTATGTTGGAGGCCATCTGTGTCTGTGGTTGTAGGGCTTGGCTGTCCATTATGGTAGCCACCAGCCGCATGTGGCTATTGAAATTAAAATTAGTTAAAATTAAATAAAATAAAAAATCTGTTCTTCAGCCTCACTAACCACATTTGAGATGCTCAGTAGCCACGTGTGGCTCTCGGCGCTCGTATCCGAGGGCGCTGATCTGTTCAGTGCTGTGCTTTTCACTGTGGTCCCTGCCTTGGGAAGCTGTACCATTTGAAGAGAGTTCAGCTAACGGTGTAAGAGGGCTTGTTGTTAGTCTTAACTAGACTATCAGATCGAAATCCCGAAGGCTCAGAATTCTCAAGGGAGGAATTGGTAGCGGCAGGGAGTGCGCCAGGCATTCTAGACGGGGATCCCTGAGCCGAGGGCTTGGGGAGGGGGTGGGGTGGGCGAGGTGTGAGAGGGACCTGTTTTGGTGTAGATCGGTGGACACCACGCCGGGTGCTTCATCTGAATGATCCTTCCTTTTCTGAAGACACTGTCAAGTGTGTTTTCTCCTTAAAAGTCCAGTGCCAGTGAGGTGGGAAAGGCAAGCACAGTGTTTGCACCTATGTGCCACAGACTGGCCGACTGGGTTGTTTTGTTTCATTCTTAATGGTTGTGAGCAAAAGCAGGGCCGGGGGAGATGTTAACTAGAGGCACAGGAGACCTTGAATGACTACTGTGATCTGAGAAGCATAAGGAGCAGCCGGCAGCCTCCGGGCAGCAGGAACTTGGCCTTTCTCCTCAGAGCCCTGTCAGTATGTCTGTCTCTGTTCCCAGCTGTCAGGTTCTCAGTTCCCAGGAGGAAGAACCTGGGTGGTCAGGTTTGGCCGTGAGCCTCCTCTGTATTTGTCGCCTGTGGCTGGAGGGCTAGTACACATTCCCGACAGGGCCATTGTGGGCCAGCTTCCAAATACTAGAGAACTGCCTAAGGTCACAAGTTAGTGGCAAAACTGAGAATTATTCTGCCCTTAGATTTTGAGGAAGAAAAAGGGCTTCTCTCCTTGGCCCTAGAGCTCTGTAAGGTCCCACTCTGTCCTTCCAGCCATTTCTTCTCATGGGATCAAGAAGCTGGGTCCACCTGGGCCTTCCCCCCTGGTTCTAGACCACATTCTAGATACCTGGGACCCCAGAATCTCCTGCCTGGAAAACCCTGGCTTCCTTCCCAGGCTTTGTGGGCTGCTTCCGCATTCTGCCTCGAGTGCAGACCTCAGCACAGTGTCCGCACGCCTCGGCCTGGGGGAGTGGATATCTTTTGAGGAAAGGATGGGTTGGGGGGCCACACACAAGTGCAGAGCCTCTCGCATTGTGGGATAGAGCGAAGAGACAAGGAAAGGAAAGGCGGGGGCCGCTTTCCCAAAGAGCATGAAAATTCCCAGTTTGGACCTGGTCTTCCAGGTGGTTATGGAAAAGGTGTATTTGTCAAGGCAGGGGAATACAATACCCTTTAATAGCTTGTTAATGTGCTTTACAACTAAATACCTGGAGGTGATCTGCAGGTTTTCATCTGTACTCATGCCTCAGGCCCTGAAAGGCTTAGTTAGAGGTGGGCCTAGCTGTGACTGAGGCTCTAAAACACAGCCCTTCTTCTCTCGATCAGCAGTGGATTGATGAATCAGTGGGTTTTTATCATTGCCCTTAGCCAGGCAAACACTCTGAATTAAGGTGTTAGCAGTTTTTCAGACCTGATGAGACTTCGTGTCCTCTTGCGATGGCATCCCAGGACCATACTGCTGGTGGCTTGATCTGCGTTGTAAGACTTGGTGAGAAGGGCCTGGCAGTCTGTATCTGGCACTTACTGTCACTAGGCTGACTACATGACTTATCTTTTGAGGTCAAACAGATCCACTGACAAAAGTTTGAGCGCAGTACAAACATCTTGTATACCAGCTTTTACAGACCCCAAAGGAGTGAGTCTGGGAAGGCAGAAAGCCACCATAAAAACCATGATTGTTTTATCTTCACTAGCAAAATGTACTTTCATCTATTGAGTCTCTTTTGGTCCTTAGCAAGCTGTGTAAACTTCCTGATAGCTGATCTTGGTTCACTATCTGCTACATTATTTTGTTACTGTCTCTCTCTCTCTTTAAAAACTGTGTGTGTGTGTGTGTGTGTGTGTGTGTGTGTGTGTGTAGAGAGAGAGAGAGAGAAGAGAGACACATTCTCTGTAAGTTTGAAATGATTGACACGCGTGCACATACCCATCTTAGACTCCGTAAAGGTAGCAAGCACCGAGACCATGCCAACACGTTGCCCTGTTCATCACTCCCAAGTATTTCATTCTGTATTTTCTGAAACAAGGCATTTCCCAGGACCACAAACCAACCATCAAAATCAGGAAGTTACCTGGTTACATCACTACCCTCTAAGCAAGCCTCAGACCCCATTCAGGTCTCACCGTATTCCAACCTTGTCCTTAACAGCAAAACGATCCAGGTCAGAATCACATGTGTATCTAGATTTTCATGACACTTTGAGAGATGGCAAGCCAGTCATTTTGTAAAATGTCTCTTACTTTGGGTTTGTCTGATGGTCCCCCGTGATTAGATTCTTCCATGTACACATTTTGGCAAAACTGTCATGGCACGGGCGCTTCTCATCACAGCCTGTGGTCCGGTGCGTGAGCCCCACGTGCCCCTTTACTGGTAATGTTAACTGTCATCGTTTGAGTAAGGTTATGTTTGCCAGACTTCTGTAAATACATTCCCCTTTCCTTGTGTGACTAATACGTATTTTGTGGAGAGGTATTTTGAAAATGTGTAAATATCCCAGTCCTCATCGAACTTTGTTAATTTTAGGTCTGTGGACTAATGGGTACTAGTTTATTTAGAGCGAGGTGTCCTATTCTTATTTCTTTTTATCCTAAAATTGTTCCGCCATGGACCAGTAGGAGCTCCTTTAAGCTGGCTCCTGATTCCTCTTGACATGTCCCCGTTGTTCTCCGAGCACTTCCTGGTTTCAGGCCCAGCAAGATGTTGCCGGCTTCTCTTGCGCCCTGGCCGCCCCGGCGATACAGTCATCCACTTCTCCAAGGGCCATAGTGACTAAGCCCAAGATCTGCATGTGCGGTGTGCTCGGTGCTCCCAGGGTGTCGATGGACACACTCACACACACACACACACTCACACACACTCACACACACACACTCACACACACTCACACACTCACGCATATGTACATTTACTTATCTGTCTATGTGCTGAAAACAAGTTCACACCATTAACGATGGGATTCATTCTAGTTTTTTCTCTTGCCATATTTCTAATTCTCTGACGCTGAGAAACCCGGCTCCCCAGATTCTCAGTACGTTTACTCTTTGCATCAAGTCCATGATGTCATCAGCCTGGTCTGCCTTGTCCCCTCCAGCCGGGCCACCAGCCCCTCCACACACACTCTTCCCTGCCCTTTCTCAGTCCCAGCAAGTGGCTTTTGGACTGAATTGTTCAGGAAAGGAAAGGGAAACCATTTTTCTCATTCACATTTAATTGTTTATATTTTATTCTTTTAAGTTTTACTTTTTTGTGTGTTCCGTTACATAGTACCATTATAATTTAAAGCAATAATTAAGCAATTAGTAATTGTTTACGTTTTGAAATGTAAACACATCATGGCATTTTCCAAGATGATTTATCTTAGTTGGTTTCAGCCAGACCGCCTCCTACCACAGGGCTTGTGCAAATGCCGTTTCCATCGCCTGGAGCTTCTGTTCCATCCCCTCTGCCTGTTCTTGCTGTTACGTCGGAATTGTCATCCGGCATCATTGGCAAGCCGTTCCTCTACTGGAAAACATTTATTTTTGTTTGTTTTTGTGTTTTTGTTTACTGTTACAAAGACTGTTTCATCGAATGTCTTTGGATGCACAGTCTTGTTTACTTGTGCAAGTATTTCCACAGTGTTAGGTACAGCCAGAGTTGACGAAGCAGCCAGAATGGAACTAGGACTTTAGTTTTGCTCCTCCTTCCTTCCATCCAGGGAGTCCGTGTCATTCACCACTGCGTCCCCAGTGCCCAAGAGGAGCACACAGTAAGTGCTCAGTAAATGTCCATTGGCTTTGAATGGGACTCAGCTTCTTGTAATGAACAGTAAGCCTCAAATGACCTTTCTCCTAGACAGTGAAGAGCTGCTGCCTTGCGACTTAAAGCTCCCGCAGTGTGTCCTGAGCTGTTTTGCCTTTCTCCTACAGAAGGTGGTCTTCTGCTCTGTCAAGGAAGCTCTGGAAGTGGACTGGGGCAGCGACAACGCGGCGGCGGCTCTGAAGCGCACGGCTCCGGACTACTTTCTCCTCCAAGGTGAGGCCTCAGAGCTTCTGGCAGGCGCTGGGTGCTGGATGCTTTGATTCCTGCGGATGTGGCTGCGGAGTCCAGACGGTTTCTTGGTTTGTCCTGAGTCGAGTTCCACACTAGCTGGTTCTCAGTGGCCACAAAACCACGTGAATGGAGACAAGGCCCATCATTGAGCTCTGGTTTCTTAATGATTTTTGCTTTTTTAAAAAAATCGTGTGTTGAAATCAGCTGCCCTCTGAAGTTGAGCCCGAGATAACAGTGTCATACATCAAGCAGCCACCCAGTACCGCCCTTCAGAGTCCTTCCTTGGCCCCCAAAGCGACCTTCCTCTCTCGGAAGGTTTTATTTCTCTCTCTCATGCCGCGCTGGTGCTCGGCGGGGGGGTGTTAACTCAGTATCCTTTGGCCTCTCAGTGTTCTTCTGCCTGGCACTTTTAATTTTTTAAATATTAGTTTAAAAATAACGATCATGACCATTGAGCGCTCATTAGCATGAGCTGTTGGGGGTAGATACTGTTACCATCCCTGTGTTACAAACAAGGAAACTGAGGCACGGAGAGATTAAGGTTACTCATTCTCAAAGTTATACAACAAGTGAGTGTAAAAATACTGGTTTCTTCATTAGTGTAAAAATAACCCGTATTTATTACAGGAAATACCAGAAAAGTTAAAAAAAAATCACCTCAATGGTTTTGTGCTTTTTGGGGACATGCTTCCCAACTTCTTTTCCATGTCCCAGTTCATGTAGCACGATATCTGCCTAGGCCACTGGAGTCCCTCGGTCTCTTGCCGCAGGGCCCGAGAAAGTCAGGGCCTCTGCAGAACTGTAACCCGCTCTTGGGGAGACTGAGGTAGAGATGTAGTTTTTCCTTATGAAATCTGCAGAGCAGGTTTTGGTGGCATTTGCACAGCCTTCAGCCTTCCTTTCCCCGGGGCCGAGATGAGAGCCACACGCCCCCACCTTCTCCTTCCCTTTGTCTGGCAGAAACTCCAGAAACCCTCCAAGTTCAAGTCAGGACGGTGGATGGCTATGCGTGTCGGTCGCAACAATTGTTCTCTCCCCAAACGGAAATAACTAAAACTATATAAAACTTTCTTAACGTACTAGTAAGATCAGACAAAGCTAAAGTTTATCTTTACGTTATCTATGAACAAAACTTTTCCCGTACTAATTAATGGTGTTAACCAGATTGGGGAATGAACTATTTTAAAACAGTGTCCGTTTGTGTAGACGTAATTAAATGAGTTAAGTAGGAATGAGTCTTATGCGTGTGAGTGGAGGGCTCAGGAAAACTCCCTTTCAAGACTGGGACGGGGGAGTGAGGGGGTGCCACCTGGGGTCAGCAGTGCACCCCTTTCTGGGCTTCAGAGTGAGCAGGGGCCTGGCCGCCTGGGAGACGCTGACTGCCCAGTCCCTGGCACTAGAAAGCTCTCGGGGGACGGTAGCTGTGGAGGTGCAGAGGTTTGGGGGACAGCCTGAGCATTTCTAAATGCCACGTACAGAAGGAGTCAACTGGTATTTAAGTTCACCGTGATCCGGTGATTCCCAGCCGGGGGCAGCTAGGGCCACCAGGGGACATTAGCAGTGTCCGGAGACATTTGGTTATTACAGTGGTGGGGTGTGGTGGGGAGAGGTGTTACTGGCATCTACTGGGGGGAGAGACGTTGCTAAATACCCCGTGACACGTGGCACAGAGCAGCTCCCCATGACAAAGAGCGAGTCTGGCCCCCGTGTCAAGAGTGCCGAGGTTGAGAGACCTTGATCTGATGCTTTGCAGTTTCCAGAGTACTTTCTCATCCAGTGTGTCCTCACGGCACCCTTATGAGGCAGACAGAATTATCCCCAGTTTGCTTTCTTGACATGAGGAAACAGACCCAGAGAGGCTTCATGTTCTGCCTAAGAGGACAGATTGTCGATGGCAGAGGACGTGGGACCTGAACAGCCCAGGGCTTTGGAGTCTGATAATTGATTCTGTGTGGTAAACCTGGTGACAGCCAGGCTCCATTCCCAGTGCTCATCGGGTCCTCGCCGCATTCATGCGAAGTCGCTGCTGTGCCCCTAGGTGGAGGTGTTTGGAAAGGCACAAGACTGTGAAGATCCAGGCCTGTGGCCATCCCCGCTCCCAGGAGCCTCTCGAGATGGGGAGGCCCAGCGGGCACCCTAGAGACAGTGTGGGGAGAGGCACACATTTAATCCAGGTGTTGCTGGCCTTGCCCGGGCCGGGGGAGGGAGTAGGAGCCTTCACGTGTCCCGTGCGGCGGGCGGTGGTGCGCGGTGGTTCAGGCCCTGAGCCTCGGGTCAAAGCAGACCTGGTGTTCAGTCCTGCTCGGACCGTGTTTTGAGGTGAGTGATGTTGAGTCCTAGACTTAAAATTCCCTGAGGCCCATGGCCATGGATGTTAATAGCACTATCCGCAGAGGGTTTCGGAGAGGCTGGATGGTGAACTACACGCAAAAGGCCTGGCACAGGGCACGTCCTAGGGACCTGTGTTGTCCACAAAGATGCGTGTGGTTCGTTTGTTTGTTTGGCGTGTACTAGACGTTCTGTGGTAGGCTGTTTACCCTTAATCCCATACTTGAGTAGTAGTATTATAGCAGTCCTGTTGTTTTATTTTCTGCCCGTGACACTTTGTTGGATAACATATCCCATTCATTGACTTCTCTCTTCTAAATGGTACTAGCTAGCTCTTTTCAGTTTCAAGTTCTAGCACTTTGTATTTGCTGATTAAAGCTATGTTTATTAGTTAACGTTTTGGTTCTGTATTGGTACATGGTACATATCATACATGCACATGGACCATAAAATGTACCATCTTAACTATTTTTACCTGTACATTTCTGGTATTGTCATAGAATTTTAAAAGAAGGAGGCAGCCTCTCATATCGTCTTGGCCAAGGATGGCAGGTACGTGCTTTCCACTCTCCCATCCATCCCTCGTCTGTGGCAGACATGGCTGAAGGAACCTCTTCATCGGCCAGACCACTTTCCCATAGCCCCAGAATACTGTGACCAGCACCGCCCACAGTCACTGTGCTTGGTCACTGTGTGAGACAAACCCACGCCTCCCTTCTGGTTGAGCCGACTTTCTCTTTCAGCCCATTAGCGGCAGCCTTAGGTCCAAAACCCAAGTCTCTTACGCCACACGCGAAGCTGCTCCTGATTTGTTTGGACATCTGGCATAACCTTCCATAGGCCTTTCTCTTGGCAGCAGATGGCAGATCTTGAGCCTCCTTGGGCGTTGTCATCTGCACATCCCCGACTTCTTCCCCCTTGGTCTTGCTGAGCGCTGCTCTGTCTCGTACAGGTGCTGCGGCTAGAGCTGCACGGCGCGTCCCACGGCATCGAGTCCAGGACCCGGCTTGCTTTTCCGGGAGTTTCTCTGTGCTGCGTACTCGCTCCATCCCCTCGGCCGCCCACCGGAGTAAGGTTCTGGAAGTAGAAGAGAGTGGCTCTCATGGTCTCGTCCGCTGGTTACCGCCAGCAGCTTAGAACCCTCAGCTGCACGCACTAAGCGACTCCGTGGGCGCGTCACCATGTCCTTACACTCACAAGTACTGCTCTTGCTGTTCCGCTCAGCTGCCCGTGTCCCTGTGAGATTCTCGTGCGATTTGGCCTCGTTGGATTTGTCCGGGAGAGCCTAGCAGCTTCCACGTGTGGGGCCGCCCTCTGCCAAACACACTTGCCATCACCTGTCTCTGCGACCTTGGGCAGATAAGTCTCTTTGCCTCTTTAGGGTCTTGTTTCCTCACCTGTAAAGTGGCAGGACAGGTTAGCTGGCCTGTCTCTAGAATCTGTTCTCATTCTAAACAGTCAGCGCATCTAATAGAATACAAGCTCCACCTTCTCTCTTGTTTTTCTATATATATTTTTTATTTTTATGCTTTTAACAACTTTACTGAAGTTTACCAGAGAGAGAGAGTTTGGCCCTTTCATATGTACAGTAAGTCCTCGTTTAATGTCATCGATAGGTTCCGTGCCCAATCTCATCTTGAAAGGCACAGCAGTTGTCAGTTTTTCCCAGTCCTTGGACTTTGTTCCCAAGAGCCTTCTAGGAATGCGCTGGCCCGCCTGACGGAGTTCCTGGTGAGGACAGGGCCTTGGCTGCCATGCACACCTGAGCACACCTCAGAGACACCCTGACTTCGTTTCACCATTGCCTGATGGAGCACATTGTAGGTGCTGGATAAGTAAACGTTTTCTGCACGAGTGACTAGTTGCCGCTTGTCTGGGCCCTTGCTCCGCTCTGGAGGGACACAGTCTTCCCGCTGGTGTCCCCGCAGGATCCTCCCTCCTGCCTGGACACCCGTCGGGCCTTCGGTTCCAGCACCACCCGACCATGGCCTGCCCCTCCCTCGTGGACGATTCTCACTGCCCTGCTCACAGTTCAGCCTCTGGGAGGCAGCTGCCCCGCCGTCCCTGTGCGTGCCTTTGCCTTGTTTGGGTGTTGAGTGTTTTTCCAGTTTACTTAATAAGATAGTGGCCAGACCGAACACTTCCTGCTGCATTTTTCCATTATCTTGAGCGTTGGCCCTGCCATCTGTGAGCAAAAAGTCTCATCTTTTTATTATTCTCCCATGGCATGTTGCAAAACATTAAGCGTGAGCTGGTTTCCTGTGGCAAAAAGTTGACTTTGATTTGTTCTTTTTGAGGTTACTGCGAGTTTAGCATAACAGGAGTGCTAAAAATATCGGGTCTTGTATGGAAACAGCGTTCACTCACCAGCGTGAACAACAACAGGCAGGTTTAGCCCAGAGCAGGGAGAAATGGGCTTCATGTCAGGATGAGGACCGCTTAGCAGGGAGCCTCGGCAGTCTCCGCTGTCTCGGTCTCTGTTCTAATGACTCGTGGAAAAGTTCTTAGGCCATCTCCGAGCCTCAGGGGTAAAGCTGCAGATCATCTCAGACCAAACGTTTCTTGAGCACCTGCTGTGCCAGATCCCGCGCCTGGGAATCACCCGGAGGAAGCGAGTCTCCTCGCCGGCGGAGACGACGGCGGAGACAAGCAGT